TCCTTTTCTTTTTCCTATCTAGTGTTAGGGGGTTAAAATAGAAGAAGAAAAGGGGTGGACAAGGGTGGAAGAAAGAGGAACCCATAAAGTCCTTGTAGCAAACACAAGCTACAGTAATCCTTTACTTCAGTCTTTCTGAAGCCTTTTGGCAGCTGAGAATTGAGTACTGTTAATGTTTGCACTGAAGATTGCCTACGAAGAGAAACTGTTCCTTTTATATAAAAATATTTTCAATAAAAATGTTAAAATACCAATGAACTATAAGACCTGAGTGTATCTGACCTTAAATACTATCGTCCTCCTTTTGCACATATTTTTTAGGATGCTCATGAAGTATTAACTTCTGTAAAAATTGAAAACATACAACATTCTTTGTGATTTAGATTTTGTTTTGACTTTTTTTTTCATTTTCTTTTAAAGATGTATTGATTATACAGTGTTCTGTCTGCATGTGAGCCTGCAGGCCAGAAGAGGGCACCATATCTCATTCTAGATGGTTGTGAGCCACCATGTGGTTGCTGGGACTTGAACTCAGTACCTTTGGAAGAGCAACCTCTGAGGCATCTCTCCAGCCCTTAGATTTTGTTTTTTACCTACCAGCTGTAATTCTATCCAGTGTGCCTCTGGGTTGATTTCACTGTAGCCTCTTTATATTCCTTAGGAGCCTTTTGAGATGCAACTTGAGACACCACCAACATCGATTATGTTCAATTATAACAATTCAAAATATGGCGGATTTACAAAAAAAAAAAAAAAAAAAAGCATTAAAATTAACATGAAAAAAGCCAATTGGCCAAAAGTCTGGAAACCCCTCCAGGAGGTTGCACGAACAAAACAGAGCATGCTGGAGAAAAGCCTCCAGAATGACCATCTGAATGTGAGGAAAGGCTGGAGCTATTTAAACCCACAAAGGTTGTTTATTCATGGCATTGGGGCGGGAAGGCATTTGAGGCTCGGTCCTGGCCCACCTCTCTAGACTCCCCTCTTCCTGAAGAGAGCTCTCTTCTGTTATAAAACGTCTATTTCCCTAATATTCTGGTGTCCCGGACCAATTTTGTTCTAAGAAACAACAACCTGGAACCTTGGCAGGTGTCCCCAGACTCAGACCCCTGTCTATACCATAGCTGATAAAGATAATCACAGTGCTGTCTCTTGAGAAGCAGACACCCATGTGTTTGGTAGGATAATGCTCTTTGCTCAAGCACTCCTTTATTAGCCTTAAAACAATGTCGCTTAATAAGTTGCTTAATAAGTGACAGATCCACCTCTTTTTAATTGAAGTTTTTAAGAATTTCATGCATGAGTACCATATAGACCTTATTTGCACCCCTCCTCTTTCTACCTCTAACTCTCCCATGTCCCCCAGATTGCCTCTCAAACTCTCTCTCTCTCTCTCTCTCTCTCTCTCTGTCTCTCTCGTGTGTCAGTGTCTGTACATAAGCACATGCAAATGTGCAGGCAGGTAGATGTCTTAGCACAGGTGTGGAGGTCAGAGGGCAGTTTGTCGGAGTCAATTTTTTTCCTTCCACCGTGTGGATCCTGGGTATTGAACTCAAGCCATCAGGCTTGGCAGCAGAACCCTTATCTGCTGAACCATTTTGGTGGTCTGTCAGTCAAGTTTGATGATGTCTTTCATCATCCATCCTTGCACTATTCAGGAACAGGGGTGACACAGTTACGAAGAAAATAATTACATATAGACCTTGTTGCAGTCGACTATTAATATTTACTATGGGTTTAACTTCTGGTAACGCTGCTGTTAATCCTCAGCAGCTGTAAAACCAAATCACCACACAGAGACTGGGTTTTTAGTTAATCTAGAACACAATGCTGGGCAATATTTACTCCCTCCTAAACCTCCAAGCCCTCAGTTTCCTAACATTTAGATATCCCACATTTTACTTGCTTTTTGTGAAATCTTAGGTCTGGTTCATGCTCCAAGTCCTCCAAGCTCTCTCCTCCCACTCTGCTCTCCTCATGCTCCTCTCCTCCAGCTCCTCCTCCTTCTCGCCCCTTCCTGTTCTCTAGCTCCTCCCCTCTTTCCTGTCCTCTGGCTCCTCCCATTGCACAACATTTTATCTAGTTGCTTTATTTGTGTCCTGTTTACACAAGAGTGAGTATCACAATGCAATATCCAGATTGAAACCAGAGAGTTGGGGGTGGGGAAATCAGCATTTGAATTAACAAGGGTAAGGCATATACATTTTAAAAGAACATTATACCAACAAGACCTCCTTCATAATCTCTTACTCACCAGTATTAATCCAGCAACTGCAAACTGTCACCAACAGAAACCATTGCCACAATCCAGCATAGGATAAAGTAAGGAGGTAACACTTGAAATTGCCAACCAGCCAGTTGGTAAGTTGACCATATTGGACTCTTAACACTCAGGAAAGTGGAGCCATTTATTTTTATAGGATAGGCAGGTATATGCTTTATGAGTTTAACTTCAGGATCTCAGCCAATATAACTATCCAAGGGCTTCCTTTTTATATTTAATTTTTAAATTTTATTGTTGTGTATGTATGTACATACATACACAAACAATGTGTGTGTGTGTGTGTGTGTGTGTGTGTGTGTGTGTAGAGGTAAGAGGACCACTTTCCAGAGCTGGTTCTCTTTCAACCACAGGATCCAGGGATTGAATTTGGTCATTAGGCTTGAACAATCTCATCAATGTATGTTATATTTGGTCCATCAATGCAGGCTTCTACATCATTCCATCAGAACAAGGAACCTGCTGAACAGCAAAAGAGACATAGCCTTGCTCACATTTCCATAGAATCTGCTGGAGCTGTCACATGGAACACCACCTGGAATGTACTGACCTCATTATCAATGGAGCAGCCTGCTGGCAGCTGCCTAGCATGGCAGCTTGGCCTTGACAGGCTGTGCAGATACAGCACTGCCTGCAGGGGCAGTGAGGTCCCAATTCATTGACTGCCTGGTGTTACACCCAAAAGAGCATACTGGGGGAGTGAGGGTACAGAAGCATGAGAGTGGCAGTATCCCTCCTTTTCATCAACCCCAGTGTCCACTTAGGGAACATGTCATTTTAATCACTGCTGGGAGTGATTTCATGCTGGGTTGGCAGAAACTAGCAAGTGAGCTTCCTGGAGGCAGCCCACTCATTTTTGTACGGGCGACAACGTGTATATCCCTGGTTTAGGCAAGGGATTTTTGCCCCAAGACTTTTGCCCCAAGACTGCTTAGTGTTGCAATAGTGCCTTTCCATGCTTGTTTCATACATCCGGCATGGGAGAGACCTACCTCACTCTTTATTGCTTCGTTCTGTTGGGCAGATTTTGTGCAGATTATTTTGAAGATGTACCTTTATGACATAGTGCTGTTTAAATGAATTGATGATTTCATAACTCCTGATGATGATTTTAAAGAATTTCTGACTTGATTCAAGTCATTTAAAGGCCCTCCTGCAGTATAGTGAAAACTGCTAGGAGCTCAATGAACCTCCATATGTCAAGCGCTTGATTTACACTAAGAGAGAAAAAAAAAAAGATTGAAACAAATTAATAATCAAGGAAATACATTCATTCTAGGTTTAGTCCAAGAATAAGGCCCAGGGGTACACCACAATAAGTAAGACCATATAAATATAGAAACAAAGAATAAATGGTTACCTGTACAAGACAAGAGAGACACCTGTTTCTTAGAAAAACTTGACATAAAAACTTACTTTGAAAAATAATATACATTTGAAATGAGAAGATAAGACTGCTGCTTTGAACTCATAATGAGCACATAGATTTTTAAAAAACCACTGATTTAAAGATAATAAACAAAGTATCTAGGTAGATATTAGGATCCGTAGTCCTCCTGTAACTCCCCTTTTATGTAACGATTGTATGTGTTTAAATGATGTAATTTTTTCCATACATAAAGAACCTTTGTATTAGAGAGTATAAAAACCCAAGACAGAATTAAACATTTGTTGAGGCTACTCGCCTCATCTAAAAATGTGTCTACCTGTCTAATTGTGTGTATACATGGAATATATGTATATTTATATTTGTATGTTCACATATAGGTGTATGAATGGTGTCTTTGGGAGCTCCTTTATTTTGTCTGTGGTTTGTATGTATAAAGTCCATGCATTTATTTTTATGAAGTCCACTGACATATTTACGTTGAGACAGTGTCTTACCACATAGTCCGAGTTGACCTGAAACTGAGATACACCTATCTGTGCCTTCTCTCAAGTGCTGGGATTAAAGTTATCATGACTAGCTAAAGTCGGTTTTTATATAGTAGACCTAGTTGATAATCCAGAGTAATAATTCCATCATAAGATCTTTACTCACATGTAATTTTTGCCACATAATATGATGTATCTGCAAGTTCTGAAGCATAGATATCTATTGTTCAGGTTTATTGCATTCTATGGTCTTGTTGAAAAGTCTTACTTATGCTCAGGAAATTTCCTTAGGATTGCCTATGTGATTCCCATGTAACCTAGAGATATGGTTTTACTTCCTCTATTAGATTTCTGTTTAACCTGCTTGCCCTGCCTAGAACATAACAGGAAATATGTATAGAGGTGAAAGTGAGCATCCTTGCCTTGCTTCTAATCTTA